GGTGTATAGTGAAGTACTGGCCGGCGGCACTTTTTTTGCCCCCTACTACTCCTGTTCATCCTTTCGTCAAACTCGTGGAGTCAAGAACAAAAAATAAAATAAAATAAAATAAAAAGCAAATTATTTAGCTACAAAATCATATATGTGGTGCAATAGTGATATCGAAACTAATTTTGGTCCCGCAAAATCAATACAAGTCATTGTACCTTTGAACACCATTTCTAGCCAATCGAAATGGTCATCTCAAATTTGTTTGGAAATTGAAGTGCATTTAATTTTGGCCAAAGTCCCTCCACTTTTGGGATGCTTTTGTGGTGATAGATGGGCAAGATGTGGTCCTTTGGCTGATTACTTCTGGAGTCTCCGTGGGGACAATATATAGGTTTCATCAACTTTAATGATGTCAGACGAGGTAGTTAATGACTTGGATTGTTGGACGAGGGATCATGCCTTCTTTGTTATTGCATTTTTTTATTTTTATTTTTTACATAGTAGCACATCTAACCTAATTTAATTTACTCCTACTCCTAAGGGAGGGGGAGCCTATTCAATGGGATGGCCCAACTGATTCGGGAGAACCTGATGGACTGAATCACCATCAAACCATACGGATGCATCACGCACCTACATGGATTTAAAACAATATCATATAGAGATACATTGATGGGAGGGAAGGTTTAAACCCTTAACCTCCCACTCCACAATTAATGTGATGGCTAACAGTTGCATTATTTCAGTTGGAGCTTTTATCTCGTAACTTTGGACTGGAATTTTGCTGTCAGAATTTAATGAAACTCAGAGGAGATGTTTCAATTACGTGTATTTTATTTTATCAATCTTCTGACTATAGACTTGATCAAAAAGGCAAAAGAAAAATAGAGAAACTCCATACAATTAATATATCACCCTCTCTATATATAATATGTATATTGTATATGCATGCCTATAATTCTTGTTCAGCTTAAGCCTCCAAAATTTAGATTTAGACCAATCGAAGACCTTTATATATACACAGTGTCAATTTCTAAATTTTATTTTATCAAAATAATGGTTAAAAATAATGGTTATTCCCTCGTCTCTCCTTCTCTCACAAATCCACAATGTCAATAAAGTCGCAAATACTTAAAATAGCAGTATAAACGAGTCGAGATGAACTTAAATAATGCACTATTCGAGCTTAATCCAGCTCAAATTATATAAGTTAATATTATATATAATTTCTAACATACAAACATACATAGAATAAACCCCTCCAGCCGGAGGCTTGTGGTAGGTGGTCCAGCGGAGCTTTCGGAAAATGGGTAGGATTCGCGCAAGCACAAAGACCATCCTTAAGCTTGCCGTCTCGTGCTTGTTCCTTGAGTTTATTATTGCAAGAAAGATGGGTAGGGAACTCGTCAAGTTACTCGAATCGAAGTGCTTAAACTCAATTGAAACTGAATCAAAATGAGTTTAATTAGGATTCCACATTATTTATACCTTATTTATACATGCTGATTTGTTTATATGATCAACATATTTTTATTTCACATATATCACATCGAAAAAATATTACAGTAATTTTTAAAAAGTTATCCCAAATAAGCTTCTTCTAGCCAAACACACTCAAAGTAAACTCTGGGAATAACTTGTTTGAGCTCGATCTGTTTTTCTCCCTGAGCACTTCATATATTTATGTATGTATCTATGCGTATATATATATATAACTTGTTTTAACAAAGTAAACTCTGGAAATAACTTGTTTAAACTCGATATGTTTTTCACACCGGGTATTACTTCCTCTTTTCAAAACCGGGTATTACTTCCTCTTTTATCGATGTATAATAACTTTTTCCAGTTGCAAATGTTCAACCAGTAGACTTTGAGTTAATGTGACTGTTGGAGAAACATATGGCTGAGTGGTGCTATACGCGTTTCCCTCTGATTGGATCTTTGTACCACTTTATTGTCTACGCTACCTTCGAGCTGCAGACGGGGCAGGTACGGTCATCAGAAGGATCAATCCTGAACAGTTAACGGTCAGGATTTGATCCAAAAAAATTATACGATTCAGATCATTTCTTATACTTTATTTTTAACAATATGTGTGGGGCTCACAAAAATTTGTTCTATAGTTATACGTTGTGCAAATAAAGTTACGTCGTGTGTAAATGAAATTACACGGTGTACAAAATACACAAAATCGCTAGGAACGATTGCATCTGCAACCGTTCCTGCCCGTGGTCCCCTCGAGCTCGAGTTGCTTCAATCCAATTCAAGGACGCCCAGAAAAAAGTGGCACATCATTATCAATCTTTATTTGAAATTATATTTTGAGAGAGACCAAAAAAAAATACGAATTATTTTAAAATGGCAGGGAAATTTCAATGAGCCTACGTGGATTTCAGTTTCTTTTGAAAGTTTCTTTGGTCAAAAGGTGCATGCTATGTCCATTCAGAATTATTATAATGAGTCTTTCCCAAAAGATGATGCCAATTCATGCATTTTTCATGTGAGTATATTTAATTAAGTGCTATTTTATTTTAGTAGAAATCGGTTCATCATGAATATCATTATGAGATGGAATTAAAAAGTTTTAAAGTTTTTTTTAAAAAAAAATAAAGTTAAATTGAAAGTTTATAAATATAAAGGAAATAATAACGTGTATATTAATTTACACAATAAGCTATGTTTGATTTAAGAAGCCTAAAATGAACAGTATTAAATAAATTTTTACATTGGTTTCATATAAATTGCTAGAAACTCAATTTATCGTTGCCTTGTTTTTGGTAGTTTCCTTGCAGTTTTTAGTTTTTCTCACCTTTAACTAAACTTTTTAGACTTTTTTTTCTCCTTAAAAAAATCATGTTTAGACAATTCAAGCACAAAAAGTATTAAATCATTCGTTTTTGGCAGCCATGCAAAAGGACTTTTCTTCCCTCTTTCATTTTGCTTTTCCTTCTTGATATAAACAAATTGACTTTCTAAACATGGGCAAACGCTAATAATCAGCTGCTTCAATTTGAGAAAAGTAAATCTAAAGAACATTGAACGTACAAATGTCGACTATTGTGGAAGCAAAGATGTCCACAAAAAAAATTTGTGGCTTAGAGATTTAGTCACTGAAGCATCTGGATTTTCAACGCTCCACTAATTACGTACCTTTAGGGAAGATCAGACCTTTTCTTTGTCTCTTTATTCTGATTTCATCTTTCTCTTCTTCATTACCATCCTCCAATTGCTTATATGTTTTTGGCAAAGGATCAAATTGGTGATGAGTCTGCAAATAATTTAATTTATTCCTGATATTCTATCCTCTGCCCTAAAAGATACATGATGAAAGATAGGCTCGATATTTATTTGTTTACTAAAATTTGAATTTTCTATGATGAGACGTAAGCAATTTAGGGACTGAAGTTACTCTCATAATAATAATTATTATTATAATTGGCCTACTCCTATTTTTAATAAAATTATTCTCTATCCTTAGAGTAAAATAACCATTCACCTGTGTCATGGTAGGTTTTAAAGAAACTCACAAGGTTACGATATGCACATTTTGTGGTAGTTAAGAAAAGTTAGGCGAAACCTAGGACCTGTTTGACACTTGAGTTTTTTGTCAAATTTGTCTGTTACAAATTTGTATGAGTGTATATTAAATCATGGAAAAAAATAATAATAACCGCACCAATTGTACCTATTTCTAACTGCACCTGTCCCATTCCCTGTTTAACAAGTCTTCATTCGAGAAAAAGATGTGTAAAAAAGAATACCATTTGAGATTTGTAGTTATGTGCATCTAGAAAAGGATTATTCAACCGGGAAAACAATGAAAGGAAAGAAGTCTGCGATATGGCGTATCTTGGGCCATCGATAAGCAGTGGATGGTATTAAAGGGCATCCATCACTCTCTGAATTTGGCCAGCCAATTTGATGTTCAGTGTCTATACTAGTCAAAGTAGGGACAGGACTAAATCCAGAGAGTTTATGATTTCTGAAAATAAAGGTTCAAACAAAATTATATGTTCACATAAAAAAGATAAAAGGAACATACTTTACTAATATTTGTGCCCTTTTTATGAGTGGATTATTTATTGTTGAGATCTTAGGACGTGAGGTTCTGAGTTCAAATCCCTTTCTCCCCTTTCCATTTATAAAATCTCAACCTTCGCCTGTTGAAACCATGCACTTTGGCTCTGTAACAACAAAGTTGACGGTGGAGCAATCTTTGGCTCTGCAACAACAAAGTTGACGGTGGAGCAATACTGAAACCATCTTTAACTATCCTAACCAAGATCATTGCTTGAAATTTTGTTCTGGACTTGCGTAATCATTGAGGTTTTTTTTTTTTGAAAAAAAATTGAAACCTTAAAATCCCATTTTGCAACAATTTGTTAGGATAATGGTTCCTCAATATTGAATGCAGAACAAACATTTTCTCGACAAGATCCTATTCGTTCTATAAAAGCATGTCAGAGTACATAAATTGGTTAGTTATGGACATGCAAGTGTCTATGTCAATCTTCATAATAATTTGTTTGCCTGGTGGCCAGGTTTTGTAATTTCTGGCTTACATGTTATATGTTGTAGCTATTGTATAAAAGTCAAGATTTTAAAGCATTTAATGTGTCTTCATTCATCAGCTTAAAACACTGGTCTATAAGAAAATATTCAACTAAAGTATCAAAACAAAAAGCAACTTAAGATTAACTTTTGCTCTAAAACCTAAAATTGCAATTCCGTTTAAATTCTTATTGAAAGCATGTCAGGCATCTTACGTGATTATTGATCTTCAAATCCTAGAGCTTAACCAATTTTCAGTATTTTTAAGATGTATTGGAAAATGGAAATATGATTACTACAAACTAATCAAATGATTTCGACCAAAAAAGAATGCAAAAATGTGATTTTCCCTAGGAATGAAAATGATAAATCTAGATCATATCGTACCACAGCATGACAGGATTCAAAACAACTAAATCGGGAAAAAAAAAACAAGAACAAATGCAAAGATCAAGAAATGGAAAGGACAAAATTTTAGCTTAAAAAAAAGCACTACTCAACTGCCAACGTATTCAATCGGTTCTCCGAGATACTTTTGCTGTCAATTTACATCTAGTCCTTTGCTGTGTACCAATGAAAACTATACAAATAAAGCCAAAAAATTTTTTTTTTTGCACTTTCTCAAGCCGGATAAGAAGAAAGCAAAGAAGGTGGGATGCATGGGGAGTCTTTCCAAATCCTAGCATGCAAATATAAGATTTCCTTGGCTCTCGCAATTGTCTTCTGATTGTTCTCCACTTGAAGGACAAGGCACAACTTTGCAACAACTCCAACTTGCAACATTTCTTGAAGAACCCTAGAAGTTGGAGAATACTTGCAGATTGAAAAAAGTATTCTCACAGCTCTATCACTTGCGACTTGAGAAACCCTAAAGATTTTCTTGGAAACTATAGCTAATCCGGCCCCATGCTTCAGCAATTCTGCTCGTCCATCTGCAGTTCTGCAAATCTGATCCAACAGAGTTAGTATAAGTTCACTAGCCCTTCTTTCTGATGAATCAAGAAGTAGCTCAATCAGGACTAAAACTGCCCCCGCCTCGATTGCCTTTATTCGATTTCTTCCCCATGGACTAAGATCCACAAGGAGCTTCAATGCAGCCTTCGAAGCTTGTTGTGAGATTTGATCCTTCAAAATGTGGACTATTTCGATGAAAATTTCAGGTTTAGCAGTCATCAATTGCACCGGATCTGCCACCCTGAAAGCAGACTTCAGCATCATTATTGCATAAGCTCGAGATTGGCAACTTCCACATTTCAAGACTGGCATTAATGTCTCCGCAAATTTGCCATCATCACTCATGAGTTTCTTCAAATCTGCATCCGATGCATCAAGATGATATAGAAGATTCAATGCTTCATCACATGCTTCATCATTTTTCTCGATTATTGAAGCTAAGAATTCAACAGCACCGGCAGCCTCCAAGCTCTTTCTGTTACTTTGACTTCCTTCAGAAATGGATCTGAGCCTTTGCAAGCATTTGGTCTGAGTATTTGTTGAATTCTTGGCTTCATTGATGAGCTTCAAAATCTGGGATTTCTCAACTGGTGGCTTTGGAGTTGGAATCCGCTCAATCCCGTTGGAAGAATTGAGGGTGCACCATGCCTGAATCAACCGTCGAAGATTATGATTTGGAGTAAGATCTGTGCTTTGTAGCTCTTGTTTTGTCATTGGACAAGTGGAATTTTTGCAAGTAAACAACCATTTTTCTATGCTCTCTCTATCGTATGTCATTCCAGTTGCAACTATAACTGGATCTCTCATTAGTTGCATAGAAATTGGACAAAGAAACTGTGAAGGGATTTCAATTTCATCCATGGCTGAAAATGGTCTAAAATCCTAGCAAAAGGTAAGCTAAGACTATCAAAAACTGAATCAAGAAAAGGGGCTATAAATAGTTCAGAAGTAATGAATTAGTAGGGAGAGGAGTTGACAATCTATAATAGGGTTGAAGATTATAGAGTTGAAGAAATTGGTTGTTGTAGATTGAAGAGCCGTATACTTCTGCTCCTCCATTTATATATATCATGTGAAGATGGTGCAGTGCAAGTTGCTTTATTGAGATGCGGAAGTCAAAACACGGAAAATCCAAGAGGGGGCATACTTAGGAATAAATAATAGTAAAAGGGTTTCATATTGGACTTTTTCTAAGGTTTATGTATAGATTTTGGAAGAAGTAAAACTCAAAGGATGACTTTGTTCGATGGATGAATTAATGCACGAGGAACATAGTTGAGAATCACAGTCGGTGTTGCATTTCGTGCTGACTGCTGGGTTAATTATGGTCGCATCCCATGAGCTTGGGAAAAATTACAGAAATTTCTCATTTAGTTTTTCAAATTGCACTGGTACCCCTATCAATGCAAGTACTCGGTACATAATAATTTGAAGTATAAAATTTACCTCTTAAATGACATTAATACTATTCCATTCTGTTCTAAACTAGGGTCAACTGATAATGTTTACATGAAATGATATGATTGGGTAGAACTTAGGATGATAATTGACCAATGAAATTCTCAATTTTTAGCGTATAGTTGAAAATTAATTTTTTCTACGCTTTTTGTGTGACTATCTCTTATACATCAGCAGTTGTGGATATACGTAAAAGTACAAAACTAAACTTCAAATTTAGTTAGAAATTAAGTGTCATATATCCAAACACGTTATTGTAAGAATCTTTTTTTTTTTTTGTGTTTGTATAATCCACAGATATCTGCATTCGTTTATGATTTGCAACTAATTCTATTCGAGTTAGGTCAAGTCTCTTGCAAGCAAAACTCTTCCAACATTGTCCTTTCTATTTCTATGGCTTTAGAATCCGAAATCTCATGATTAAAGAATACAAAGTCCTTCCACTTACACCAGCATTCACTTGTAAGAATCCTTACCCTAGGAATGTAAGGAACAATTTGCATAGGTTAAAATAATTGAGCTTGAATTTGAATGAAATAACAATTTTACTAATCGATAATCATGCTGACATTCCTTTATTTTTTCTTTCCAGTATTCCAATATTTTTTTTTACAAACTAAATATTGTATGTTAAAGTTCACTTTTCATTCTGCCTATACTCTCCTATTAGAAATAGTTAAAACTATCATCATCAATATTTATAAACAACTGAGAAGATATACAATTTCTTTAGTATGAAGAAAATAGTTAATAAGGGAATGCAGACAAATATGTAGGTCTGCAAGGTGTGATAAAGGTAATCCTAGTTATGCATTTCTCTTTGTTTCTTTTTTGGTACAAAGTAATCCAAGTTATGCTAAACTTCAGGGATAAGAACCGTAATTTCTCCTTTACTTATAAGCCCCTCTGACTTTCTCTATTGACAAATATTTGTGTGTCCAAGCTTGGCTGTATATTGATAGATATGGTCATATATCGTGCCACATGCCAGTTGCCAGCGTCGACAAGTCGTAGTGGGCTTCACCCCGCATTTCTTGGCTGCTGCATGAGGGTTTTAGTGCTTACCACTCTTTTTTGTGGTTCTTTAGCTCATCCATTAGCATTTAGCCAGAGGAAAAAGGGCTCGTCCATTACCATTAATGGAATTAAATTATTACTGATGTTTGACATCTTACAGTAAAAATCACATGGGTTTTTTTTTTTCAATTTTCTTTTCAGCATGGAAGGAATGAGATCTAAGAAGCAGGATAAATTTTTTTTTCTAATAAAAAAGGGGTGAGATTTAAGAAATCGAGAAAAAGTAGGAGATTTAAATTTAAAATTTTTAATTTATAGAGTTTCAATGTTAACCATTAGATTAAATCCTCCTTAACAGTTTAATCAATTGTTATCACTTCATGAGGATTAATTAACTCATAAGTCTTATCTTGTTTGACTAACTTTGGTTAAACGTATGTGATTATCATGACATGTGACCGCGGTCTTTGTCATTAATTAAGATTAACAATTTGGCCGAGCACCGTCTTTTGTTGCCTAGATGACCAAATACGTGGGAGCATTGAATTTTTCGAAAAGAACTAGTAGTAATAGTTAAAATACTTGGTAAAAGCTAATAAGAAATTGATGTAACTAATGATTAATTAATTATCTTTGGCTCTTGTACTAAAATGAACTCGATTCTCACTTTCTCACCATCCAGATTTCCAATTCAACAATGAGAAAAATCAATATCATTAGTTTTAAAACAAATTTTAAACATTTGCTTTACTTTGAGTTCCCGGACAGGTATTAATATAACGCATAGATTCTTATGAACTTATATTTCAGCATTAAATACTTCAAGTTTTAGTGATTTGAAGTTTCTGGGATTAAGAACAATCTTACGTATGTTGTGGACTTCAGAATTTAATTTGTAGAAGATGGTATGAGTTTCTCTTTTACTAATTCATAACAATTTTCACCCATATTTTAAGTCAATATGTCTTTGACAAAATCCTTTGTCTTGCGAAGAAAACTAGAATGGAACCTTTATTTTTTTTTTATCCTTCAAACCCTTTCAATATAGTACGCTAATTCACGATTGGGAGATGAATAGATGCCAAGAACAACTGCTTTGTATTAGAAGATTCCTACCGCAAGACCTAGTACAAGCAGAAGTAGTACAGATTCAAGATGAGTAATCTTAACCACACCAAGTCTTTAGAGTGTATTGTGCTGCAAAGATGACCAAGCACTTGGTAGCTGCTAATCTATTATGTTATCTTACCAATTCTATCTCCTAATTCCCATTTGAAAGGGGGGAAAAATAATTTAAGAAAAAAAGAAGATGTATTAGAGACAAATCAAACTTGGCTTAGTTCCTCAAGTTTATCTTCTTGAAAGTGATTGTTGATAGAGAATATGTGGATTCCTAAAACTGTTAAGGGTCCGTGATATATTTCAGGAGTCATATTTTTTAAAATGTAAGATTGATTAGGAAAAGTAAATAAGTACAAGGAGGGTAGGTAAGATTAATTAGAAAAATTATGTAAATGCAAGAGAGGCTAATAAATTATTAGTATGTGTATATATATGGTAGTTTAGATGAATTTTGGGTATATATATGGCTGTCTATTTTCAATTTTATTTTTTTGATATTTAAATTTCTAGAATTTCAAAATCTCTTTCCTTCTACTTCACGATATGAAAAACCTGGCACACTATACTTTTGGTGATTTATCTATTTCTGCATAATATCTGTCATTTTGTATTATTAGGTAAAACATTTTTCTACCAGTTCTTATCACAAAGTAGAATGCAAGTTTAAGTTCTTTTGACAAATTCTTTTCTTCTATTGGGCAAATTTAAAGACTGTTCATCAACTTTAGGGATTCACTAACGACCATTTCGGAGAAGATGAGTTGCTAAAGAAATGTAAAATGAATTAGAACGTTTCATTGGAAAGACCAAGTATGAGCAGAAAGCAGCCAAGAACAGGTTAAAGATTGAGCTTCTTTTTTTATTTTTTTTTGGGAAGATTGTCTGCTTCAACATCAAAATATCAAATTAGGTAGAATCGTTCAGATTCATCTGTTGTCTAACTTAGCAAAGATGGGTCAAATGGCAAATTTTTTCTTGCTGCAGAAGAATAGTTCGTCCTGTAAGGTTTTGGAAACTTCAGAGTGTGACCAATGTCCGGCAGCAAAAGATAAACCACGAAATCCAGAAGAGACAAGAACGAGGAAATAGTTTAAGAGATTAAGGTTGAAAGATGAATCAATTCTAACAAAATTGGTTGTCCAGCTAATTTTCCCAAGTCCATACAAGCTTTAAATTTTCATTTTTGTGGTATTCATCATCAATATTTATAGAAGTTGACGTTCATAGTAATCGAATTACTTGCCTTGATAAAAAGCTAGTTTAAATGCATGTAGTAGTAACAGCACAAAAATCAAATAAATTTTGACAATTTATAAATTCAAATTAAAGTTTAATAGTCATTTAACTTGATCATGAAATTTTGATTACAACCGAGAGATTAAATTTATACACTATCAATGTAAAGATTTTTTTTTTTTTTTTTTTTTTTACATAAGCAAGTTCAAGTGAATACCACATCATCAGTATTCAAATTTTAAATTCAGTTTTTGTGCATGCGTCGTAAATCTATACATGTTGGTGTAAAAATCTTTACACTGACAGTATATATAATATTAATTCAATATAAAATATCCACCGTGTAATTGAGCTTGATTTTGTATTCGATCTTTGAGTTAACACCAGTGACTTTGGATGCTGCTTTGCATGCATGAGATATTGAGCTCCATAACTGAAAACGCGGGGTTGCTATACTAAGCGAAATATCAACACAGAGATTTCAAAACGAATTGTATGAGCCCTAGGACTAATTTCATCTGCCGAAAAGAGGAAAAAAATGAGTTAATTATGAATGGGATATCTACCTCAATCACGCGTATAATACTCATCATAGACAGGCAATTATGTAAACTTCCAGCCCAAACGCGCAATTACTGGCAGGAAAACCCATCTGTGATGAACTTGCATTATTGCCTAATTAATCACGCCTTTAAGCCGCATGTCAAGATTAAATATTCAGCAGTCTGCTAAGAAAATAATGCAAATGCACCTACTACTTTCGAAATACACCTACCAAGATTAGTAAATTTATATTATTGACAATTAAAGACATTAATGGCCCTTAAAAAGTTAAGAGCCCTTCTACATTTAATGATATTTTTGCCCATAAATGTAACATGTCTGCATGTGCATTTGTTCAATGACATCGAAAGAAACACCTAAACTGCCTGGATGGAACCAAGTCCATAATTTCTTATTAATTTCTAGTTTTGGTTATTATTATTGTGTATTAATATCCAATGATGGAGATTTCTGACAGCAATCATAGTCCTCATACAGACATTATGCACTTTTCTTTGGTTAATTAATTATCAGTGTCATATATGTGTGTGAAAAATGGAGAGCACCTTTTGAAAGTTACATATACATACATATATACATACATACATATACATATACATATACATATATATATACATTTACATACACACACTCACTCACACAATATATATATATATATATGTTTTT